TGGGAGGCTACTGGTGGCAGTAGGTGGTCTCGCAGGTACCCTGAGCCTAAGCCATGGAGTACTTTAAAGGTCATAATTAGTACCTTGAATCGCACCCGGAAAACAACCAGCAACTAGTGCAGGATGCCTAAAAGGGATGTAACATGGGAGCACCTAGGTACTGGACTACTTGTATATGAACCCATCACATTATTGTGATGAGTTGTGTAATCATACTGTTCAGTTTAAATAATTACCAACACTGATTTAATTTATATTAAGATTTCATTTTAAACACTCTTTTCAATGGCAAATAGGAAATGAACAAATGCTTTTTTATCCCTTTAAACACAGGAAGCAAATCACAGAAGGAGCTGGTGCTTGGTGGAGAGGCTTGTCTTTGGGGAGAATATGTGGATGCAACTAATCTTACACCGAGACTCTGGTACACCTAATCACTTACTTAGCTTGTTTCTCCTTTCATAAATTTAAGCATGTAATCTTTTTCTTTCTGCTTTAAAATAGAAATTTAAAATGTGTGTATATACTTTCCTCGCATCAGAGGATTGCAAATCTCTATTTTCCATTTGTTTCTTCTCCTCCTCTTCCTCCTCATTAATATACAGGTGGTTCTCAACTTAGAATCATTTGTTTATTAACTGTTCAATGTTACAGGGACACTGAAAAAAGTAACTTAAAGCTGTTCTCACACATACTACTCTTGTAGCAGCCCCACAAATATGTGTTCAAAATTTAGCTGTTTGGCAACCAACATATTTTTATGAATGTTGAAGCAGGGAAAATATAACCAACATTTCAGGTTCTTATAAAACACTTTTTTCAACATCATTGGCACATGTGCTCACCATTTGAAAGCTTCCAACAGGCAAAGTTAATAGGGGAAGCCAACTCACTTATTGACTGTGTGTCTCTTTTAACTACAGTGATTCTCCTAGCCATGGCGAAAAAGGACATAAACCTTACTTTCCCTGTTTTGGAATGTATCTTAACTTCCAGCACACTGCTGACAAAACAGTCGTAACAATTGTCTTGCTTAGCAACATAAATTCTGGTCCTAAGTCGAGGATTACCTGTATTTGCCCTTACAGGAAGCACTAATGAGTTCAATATAAGAAACTGCTTTTATAGATGGGAGACATTACAGAATCAGAGGCAAATCTGCCTAACTTCTTTTATACAAAAAGGCATAGTTCTGAATATTTTCTGGATTATATACTGAATTTATTATTCTCCAGCATCATCCAGAACAGGCATGTCAAACACACGGCCCATGGGCTGGGTACAGCCCGTGCAGGTCACGCCCACCCTTGCTACATAAGGGCAAAAACAATCCCAATACATCACATTATGGCCTGTGATGCGGTTAGGTTTGACACCCCTGATCCAGAACATTCAATCAGCTTCATGGTACCATTCTATCACGGGGAACATTTAAGTTGTTTTTGATTTAAATGTAAGGTTGACCTTGTAACAAAATATATGTTGTTAATTGCAAAGTCGTGTCTGACCCACCGTGACTTCATGGACGTTCCTGTCTTTACCATCCTCTGGAGTCCATTTAAACTCACGCTTACGGCTTCTATCCAGCCACCTCATTCTCTCTCCCTTTCTTCTTTTGCCCTCAGTCTTTTCCAGCATTAGACTCTTCTTCAGAGAGTCCTTATTTCTCATTAGGTGGCAAAAGTATTTGAGTTTCATCTTCAGGATCTGGCCTTCTAAAGAGCAGTCAGGGTTGATCTCCTCTAGGACTGACCGGTTTGATCACCTT